ATTTAAAATTCGGGACGGCTGTAATGCTGCTTCACAATGTTGACCCTTCTCTTGGTCTGTGCAATGAAACTCGATTAATTAACACGAAACTTGGAAATCATTTATAGAGGGTGAAGTTCTTGAAGCAGAAAGTTCATGTCAGAAGGTTCTTATACCAAGAATGTCATTGACGCCTTCAGATCCGAGACTTCCATTCAAATTTCAGCGAAGACAAATTTCAATTATGGTGTCTTACGCAATGTCTATCAATAAGAGTCAAGGACAATCTTTGTCGAGCGTGGGATTGTTGTTGAAGAAACCTGTATTTAGTCATGGACAGTTATATGTTGTTGTTTCTAGAATAACGAATCCCAAGGGTCTAAAAATTGTTATTTGTGATGGCGATAGTGATAGTGAGCCCGGTTCTTCTACTACTAATGTTGTTGTTTCTAGAGTAACGAATCCCAGGGGTCTAAAAATTATTATTTGTGATGGCGATAGTGATAGTGAGCCCGGTTCTTCTACTACTAATGTTGTATTTAAGGAAGTATTTCAGAATATGTAATAAAATAAATTATTTTTTTCTTATTTTATATTGCTAGAGCATTTTTTTATATCACGAGAACCAAATTTTTTTAACACTATTCCCTTTTTAATATCATGCCGCGCATCGCGCGGGTGACGTACTAGTCTATATATATATAAAAGTCAAGCAGCTCAAATTTTCCCTCCTAAACTATTGTAAATGCATGTCATTAATATTTTGATCAATATGATATAGTTTGTCTCAAAGTTGTAATGATATGATTTTCATTAAGTAGGAGAGCTAAAATACTACTACTACTTATATATATTGGAATATGTGAAACCAAGGAAAACATAATTACACTTCCATTTTCCCATGTACATCTAATACATACTTCAAGTAAATTAATTATACATTTTAAGAAACATAGAGGAAAAAAAATTACAATAAAATTTAAAAATAATAGGTAGAATACAGTTTTACGCTAAAAATACTTCCAATACACACACACACAAACACACACACACACACATATACTGAAGAAACTTGGAGGAAAACTTTTACTCTAAAACTGCATTAATTACTTATAAATAAATTTGTCAATTTCTATGTAGATTTCATAATAATGACAATTATTTATTATAAATGAATTTGTATATAACTTGAAAACTTGCACTCTAATTCACATTTTAAAGTTAAATTGTTATTTCCAATGTAGAACTTCGAAAAACAAAATATAATTATTTGTTACAAATACATTTTGTAAATAATTATTTAGTGTGAAGTTGCATTCCAGTTTTCTATTATTATTTTTTTTATTTTTTTATTTTTTTATCTTATTCCTTTGTAAACAACATACTCCCTCCATTTTGAAATATAAGGCATATAAGGAATTCTCAAATTTTTTGAAATATAAGGCGCACATCAAAACCAAGGCAAATTATTCTATTTTCTGCCCAATATACCCTCATTTATAGTTGCAACCATAACAATAAATACATAGTGATTTTCAATAAATAAGGTTAGTTTAGTCAATTTACTTATTAATTAATGTCACCTTAATATTTGCAAAAACCTTAAATGCCTTATATTTCAAAATGGAGGGAGTAATTATTTGAATATGAAAAAAAAAAACTATAT